GTTTCCTTTAGATATAAAAATATCTGCACAGTAGAGAGCAAAGGAAAGAATACACCAGGGGTCACCAACCTTTTTAAGGCTGAGGGCTACTTCATGGCTACCAAGTCATAGAAAGGGCTACCAATACTGACCTATGAACTCATTTTTATTCTTATTTTATTCTTTTATTCATTTCTAATTTTCTTTTTAATATTGTCATTTTGAAACCACTGAAATATGATGAAATAGTTAACATAATGAAATAATACATAAATTATTAAAAAGAAGAGCAACAGAATAAAAAAAAATTAAACTTAACCCACTGAGTGAGTTCTTCTGTTTTCAGAAGACGAAGAGGGCACTCCATGTGGCCCTTGAGGGCCCCTTGGTGCCCACAGGCACAGCGTTGGGGACCCCTGGACTACACAGTAGTTGACTTGGATTATTGCACTTGCACTGCAGAGATGTACTGACCTTATAAATAAGTAAAATCTTACACAGCCTACACAGTAGTTGGCATGTGTCATTGCATAGTTAGAGAAGAATATTGCACATGAGTGACAATGGGTATTGTTTTGCACAAGATGAAGGAGGGGGGTGCTGACCCTTGTCCGTCTTCCTATCACCTCCTCCTTCACCCAAGCGAGGAGTTGTACAGTTAATAAGCAATTACTGATTAATTTAGAAATGCAACCTTCAGATTATGTATTGATTCTTTACATATCAATACACAGATTGTAAGAGACTATATCAAAATACTTTTTTTTACTTAAGTAACTAAGCTTGCAAACACCACCCACAATTAACCCAGGTTTTTAGCTGTTGACTCTTTTAAAGGTAGCAAATCTAAACAAGGTAAGATCTGTTTTGTTACTTCATCTCTTATCTTTGGATACACAAGAGTATCATTGTTCGTATACAACCCTTTTCTGTTGCTTCTTTTGACAAACAACTGTACTCTATTTTTAAGTGTGCAGCAATTTTAAAGCTCATTCAATCCAAAACATGCTTTACAGACATGTGGTAACATTCCCATGGTTGAAATATAACAATAAAAGAAAGAATTTATTCTACATTGTTTTTATGAAGAAAACTATGTGTTTTCCTTCTATAGTTATAGACACTTGCAAAACCAATGTAAACACAGCATTGTAGTGGGGATTTTTTGGGGCTGTGGCTTAGAAATGTGTGTTTCCAGTGATTTATCTGCTTTAAAAATTATCTATTTAATGACTAATTCCTACTTATTTGTGTTGCTTTTAAAACTGTGGCTTCTAGCTTTCAAAAGTAAATAGACAACTCCCTATAAATTGATAAACAGTATAATAAAAACTCTCTCTGTGTCTCTCCTCCCCTCAGTGGAACATGCATGTCTGTCATCTCCATGTATGAATGGCGCCACCTGTGTTGAAGACCCGAACAGTTTCAGCTGCATCTGTGCAGAAGGCTGGACCGGGAACACCTGTGCAGATGGTGATTGTCGATTCTGCACACATGGGAAGGCTGGAAGAAGCAAGGGAAGGGGGGGGCTTTAAGGTTGTCTGAGATTGGTTATAACTGGATCAAAGCCACTAAGTGAGTCCAATCAATTCAACAGAGGAAGTTAAATTAGCCTAAACAGGAGAGGCATCAGCAGCAATCAGTGATCGGCTCTGCCCATGTCTGGCAGTGTGTTTGCGTGCGGGGATACGTTTGGCCTATATTTCTGTTGAATTGAAAAACAGAGTTGACACTGTGAGTTTTACAAGATTTTATTGGCATCAAAGTGAGGCTTTAAAGTGTAATCCTTTCATATCACAGGGAGCTCCAAGGTGTGATTTCTTCCTTCCACCACCAGGCTGATGTAGTGAAGTATATTTCACAAAGCAATCCCATATATCCCAGCCTAAATTCTATATAATTTTTTTTAGAAAAGAAAGATTGGTTTTAAAATTGTTCCCATAAACTGCACGACCTGGCTGCAAAAAAACCCCAAAACTCTAAGTCATACTATAGAGCTGAAATCCCGGAAATATATACATTTTTTATATTTTGCAGAAAAAAATCCCAACCAACCAAATGATAAATGCACCTGAGCAGACTTTATTCATGTGGTTAATGAGGTTTTACAGTATGCTTTATTTATCCTGAAGCATCCGGTTGTGTTTTTCCTATTTGTCCGTGAGAAAAACAGAAAAGGAACCAAAGCGTCTGCCAAGTGAATATCATTTCATCAAAGTTTGTGTGCTCTGAGAGCAACCGGAGACCACTGCTAAGCATAACAACAATTCACAAATACACTGTTGTGTTTAGAGGAGGAATGACATGTTGTTGTTGGCATTCGTCTTCATCACTCTTCTGCACTGTTGCCTCAAGTTTTTTCACTAGACATTTCTTTACCAGACAACCTTATTTGAAGCATATGAATGCCTGCTTATCATGAGAGATGGGACTCATAGCAGCAATGAAATACCTCTATACAGATGTTAAAAACAGAAACAAACCAGGCTCATAGAGGTGCCTTTTGTTTCAAGGTTCTATATTAAGCTCGTTTATAATTCCTCTTTGACTCTAATAAAACAGTACAGCATGAATAATGATCCAGAATGTAAATGTCTTTTGCACAGTCTTAAAGAGGTCTTTTGAGGTTCGTCATGAAAATGTTACACAGTCTACTAACATAGACAGTTTTTAGATGATGTGTTTGCACACAGAACCGCATCACATGTCTTGTTTACCAGGTAATTCAAAGGAGGCCTGGAGGCCTGTCAAGCTAACCTACTTTTGGCTGGCAGCACTGCAAGTAAATTATTGAAATACGTTTGGCACCACAGCTGCTGAGTGCGTGGCATGCTGCCACTAATCTCACTGCGAATAAAAGGATTCACCAAGCAGCTGAAACAATCGAAGCCCTCCTTGCTTCCCATATAACAACAAAAAAACACCTTAAGGCTGGACTCAGCACATACATTCCCTTTTCAGGGTTATAAACTGAGGAGATGGACACCGCTCTTAACTGCACAGATAGGCTGGATATTTGAAGAAATTTTTTTTTTTTTTTGCCTGCTCTTTAAATATAACATGCATTTCACCAGAACCAAAGTCTGTGACTTGACCATATTTTCTGCATTATGCAAAATAAGAACGTATCAGTGAATGCAAATGTCCTCATAAAGAGCCTGCTGATAATGTGATGAAAAACCAGATAGTTTTCTCCCTTACAGCATTTCTGGAACTTAGTGTTTAAAGATGTTCACATTTTCCATCACAGAGAATATTCCATAAACTAAACATACTTCCACTGGACTGGATGTTTGTTACCACATTAGGATTTTGGTCAAGCTAGCAAACACAAATCTAGTGAGCCAATGTTGAGCTTGAACTTCATCCTTCTTTTTTTCTACAACACGTTTCACACTCATTAGAATCATTCACTTTTAATCACAAAGTAGGATTGTAGTGCTCTCACTTATTAACTACTGTATTTAAAAAAAAACAACACAAACAAAAACCAACCAGAATGATTGTCACACAAAACATAAAAAAAGGCTTAATGCCATTTTTTATCAGTGTGTCTTGTTTGGATGAAGCTCAAGCATGTTTTTGGATCAGGTTTGAGCTCCATCATGTGACCCGACACGTCCATACAGTAGGTGAGATCTCATGCTGCAGGTGAGATATGATCACACAGTTTACGGTCTATCAGAGCTGTGTGTGTAAATAAACAGCATTCCAAATCCTCTGCTTTCACCCCCATCAGGATAAACGGGGCTGCAGGTCAGGCTGTGGCGTATCAACGCCGAAATGAGAAGGAGTTTTCAGAGAGAAAATAAAGAACAAACAGGAAAATAGTTTTTTTGTTGTTGGTGTGTGATGTTCGCATGATTAACAGTCAGGGAGGCTGTCTATCTCTTGAGCTGTTATTGTTCTGGGGGTATGGGTGGGATGGGCTCTCTAGAGAATACACAACGAGAAGATTGTCAAGCTTGCAGGGAATTAAAACCATAACCACAACACAGCTCCGTTTTCAGTTTATAAACAGTATTAATTAAAGGATTCATTATTTGTTATGAATTCTCTGACTGGTTTGCTGCTAGTTTGGTAGGATTACTAGGGCTTGGGTTGAAGTAGGGGTCAGGACGATGGAAAATGGATGTTATGCAGGGTTAGGTAAATGGAAAAAAAGGTTATGAGAGACACAGAAAGCTATGAATGACAGATCCATACCACAGAGATATGCATGGGAAAAATGTGGATGCCACTACTGCACAAATAAGTTATGCTCGGTTGAACCCCAAACAGTTAGCTTTTTTTTTTCTATTTTTCTTGTTTAGACTTTGTTTTGATCCCTCATCAGATAAGTGGAAACAGGCCTCCTCCTTTGCATTATTTAAGCCCGCTCATTGTCCCCTCCCTCTTTGGTGAAGGGTTTGAAGTGTCAGTCATGAACATGCTGCAAAGGACTGTTTATCACTGTTTGCACAGAAGTCAGAGCAGCAGAGAGAATAAAAACAGCCACAACCACAGCGCGACGGTGGCTTTGCACGAATTTAGTAACACGCAAGATGCTTCTTGAATATTCATGCTCACATTCCTGTTACCCAGACCAATAACTTATAAAGAAAATGTTCCTCTTTCTTATGCCAGCTGTGAAGCAATGCGATCGCAACCCCTGCGGCCGTGGAGCAACGTGTCAGGAGGCTCCTGGAGGTTTCCGGTGTCTCTGTCCATTGGGATGGACTGGCAGGACGTGCCAGCTGGGTCAGTCTGTGTAAATTCGACGCACACTTCACGTATCAGTAGATGCATACAGGCTCTGAATGATGGGATTTTATTGCCTTTATCAGCTTTCTAAAATTAAATTCCCTGTAAAACAAAGTAGAAACAAGAGCTGTAGTACATAAACAAGATCATGTTAGTTTTATTTCTTTTGTTGACAGGATGCCAACCCTCCTGATATTAAAATATATAATGATCAAATACTCGCACATGTATACTCTGCCTGTTGTACAGTTTTCTTCATTAAGATTGAGCTCCAGTAGTTTTAGACTAGATTTAGCAGATGGTCAGAGTGGGCAAAGAGGAAAAAAAAGATCACAACAAAGTTTATTCAGTAAATTTATGAAATGCGCCACAAAACTGTAATTTCTCTATTTTTTTACATAATTGTTCTAGTAAATTGTAAAGATGAAATACTAAGTTGGTCTAAGTGACAGACAGCTCTCTTAGTCTGTGTATTTCATCATAAGCAACTAATGTAGTATCACACTGCAAAAACTGATCTAAAAAGGTAAAAGTTTCTTAAAATTTGTGTATCTGCCTTTAATTTGAGCAGGTAAATAAGATGATCTGCCAAGACGACTAGGATCTGCAAAGACAAGGAGGATGTTTGGCCATTAAAACAAACAATTTGATACCGTGCAGTTAAAAATAAGATAGTATTCATGTTCTTTTCTTAAACCTAAATCTTCTTATTCCATCTGCAATGTGTTTTACCTACCTGCTTAGATCAAGTTTATCCACATCTATTTCAAGGAAAAATTATTTACATATACACCTTTTGCAGTTTATGTTTTCAATACATGGGCCACAACAGGGGCCAGGACTGTGGGGCACTAGCCCCCGTTGGCCCCTGTGTAGAATCACCCATGCTGTTATTCAAAGATAAACATATTCCCCAATCTTTAGAAATCAGTCATGTGCATCTCTCAGCACAATGGTTTGATGTAAAGTTATCCTCATAAAGGAACCAAAAATCCCCTTTTTAATTTGCCTAAAGGGGAACCATGAAGCGCAGCTCGTTCTGCAAACTTTGAGGAAATATATTAACTGTGTATTGAGGAAACCATTGACGCAAACATCAAATAAGACCCTAAAACCTAAACAATAAATAAAAAATAATTATTTTTAATTTGATTTTTAAAAAATGATTTCCCTATAGGTTTTATTAAAAAGAGCCGAGTTGAGAAATTGATCTTTAATTCAGATGTCCATCATCCAACTAATGAACAAATATCACCATGAGCGGCATAAATCAACCAGATAAACTTCAATAATCCACATTCTTCATAAGTGGTTATATGTGATGATCGTTGGTTTGAGGGAAAATGTAATTTTGATACACAAATTAGGGAGCAGAAGAAGCCAACAGCATCCTAATCCTCACATTAACCCTCGCTGACTGTGGATTAGTCTTCTCTAAATGCACCATCATGCCCCTTTTAGGCTGCATTCACTCATTTACAGAAGTAGAGTGAAGCAATGTTACGGCTTCTCTCTACTTAAGGGTTTTTGTAAAGAAAAAGCTAAAGCAAACACTTACTGTAAACATACGTAGGCTTCGGGGCTTTAGAGTGAAAACTGAGACATATTTCAGGATGACAGGCTCCCCTGCTCCTCTGTGTTACTGTCATATGTCACCCTGACACTTCATAATCCCTCATAGTTCCACATCACAGATCATGTGCCCACAGCCTAAAGTGTGACGCAGACTGATCAAACTCAGGGATGAACCTGAGCTGCAGAACATCAGGAGTGCATCAGTCGTAAAAAGCCAATTATACTTTCCCTCCATGCCTCATCAGAGGATTTCTGTCCTACTTGGCTTTCTGTTGACAGGCTCCTCATTATTCTAACACAGAAGCACTTAAACTCACTGACAGAGCTGAATCCTAATCATTTGTAGCAAATGGCTGATTTGTCTTTAGCTAACATTTTCTTTATGCTCTGCTGTGTGCCAGGGACCCTCAGGGCCCCCTGGCAACTTTAAAAGTATTTGTCCAAGTATTTATAAATAGCAGTGATGCTGAAAGAGAAGGACTTTAAATAAAGAACTTCTTTATTTCAACAACAAAAAAAACTAAGGAAGATATTTTTTTGTTCTTGGTTGAGATTTCCTTTAAAGAATTTATCAGATTCATTCACAATATTATTTAACTCAGGATAATTTGGGGTTGTGACTTGTGTTTCTATCCATTTAAAACAAACACAGTATTGTGAAATAACTTAAACCCATTTCTAAATTCTGTAGTTTGCCTCCAAATGGTACAGTATTAACAGTGAAGATGAATGTAAAAGGAAAAAAATTAGACAAAAGAAAGTTTTACCTTTATTGTGCCTCAGTTGAGGCTATGTGTGGCTAAATGGGACCACTGATAAAAATGGAACACAATGAAAAACCAACAGAAATAAATAAATTTCAAAGGTTTTTTTATCCTGTTATCTTAGAGTCAGGGTGATAGCTAAAAAAAATAACATAAAACACTCAATTAATCAATCTAAAACAAAAGTTGATGCATAAATACAATATATTATAAATAAAATGTTTTTCCTTTTATAAACTTTGCCTCTCCTCTTTGAGTCATATATCAGTTGCCCTTTGTGGATTATTAGAGTCTAGTTTATGATTGATTTTATTATGTTGTCCTGTGTTTTTATATGTCTTACTGTACTGCTGCCTCTTGGCCAGGTCTCCCTCGAAAAAGAGATTTTATCTCAAGGGACTTCTTGGTAAAATAAAGGTTAAATAAAAATAAGCAAAAAGCAAAAGCTGAGTTTGGAAAAATACTTCAATCTCTGAACTTCATTTAATATTACCTCATGAAAGGTACCGTGTAGAGTAATCACAGAGATTTACTGACATAAATGTCATATATAAAAATGTAATATATAATCTATATTTTTGGTATTTATTTTTACCTATGAACTGAAAGTCTCAATCTTTATGTCTGCCTTGCCTTAGAAATTGCTATTTATAATTAGATAGGAGTCTGTTCCCATTTGTGGAGGCAGACATCTTTTGCGTTATGGCAGTGCAGAGCTGACAAATATCTGACGTTAGATATCGCCATTACACTTGAATGGGACTGCAACAAGTTAGGCCTATATACAATCCTACAAAGACCAATAAAATACTATTTGTAAAATTATCAAATTTTTTTTCCTAATTTTTTTTTATTATTATTTTGCAACTACACCCTATCCTTATGTGGGATTTGGGGTTGTAATATGGTAAACATTTTGGTATATTATATAATTTAATCAGCTTGGACTATTTTAATGCTGTTTTTTTCTTCTTCTTTGTTTTGCACCTTTAGATGCCAATGAATGTGAAATGGGTACATGTGTCCACGCCCGCTCATGTCATAACCTGATCGGCAGTTACCTGTGTGACTGCCTTCCTGGTTGGACGGGGCCTAACTGTGACATCAGTGAGTACGGCACAACAGTAGAAAAAGCGAACACACAAAAGAAAGGGAAATTACTTGAAAGAGAAAAGAGAAGTAATTGTCTGGCGAAACATGATGAGGCTTTAAAAAGTAATTCAGCTGCAGCTCAGAGTTTCTATAGATGGGGATCATTTTACTTCAAGAGAAAAATTCTCAGAATATCACTGACAAACAAAAAGAATAAAGGTCTTTTTTTTGTCTTTCTTTACTAAGAATATTTCCCTTCAGACTCATGAAGCACAAATTTCCGTTATGCAGTGCCTTTCATTTATTGTTTCACAGTTTTGTTGTTTTATTAAACATAATTTGTTTTGTTTTTGTTTGCTTTTTTAATAAATAAATGTGTTTCTGTTCCTAGGGAACAGCAGCTGTCAGGGTTTATGTTTGAATGGCGGCCATTGTGAGGTGAGTGGCTTATTTTTTCCTTCACGACTCTGCTTTAACCTCCTTCCATTAGTGTTTACTTCTTTAAAAACAACCAGAAAACACTTTAACTTAATTTCACAGTATTAGAGCTACAAATGTTATTGTATGTGTCACATCTATAACATGTCCCCATTTCCCTCTAGTGACTTTCCTGTGAAATTCATATCATTGTCAAGTAAATTTGATCTATATCCTCCAATGCAGGACCAGTTGTCAGGGTCAAGATGTGTGTGTCCCACTGGTTTCACTGGTAAACATTGCCAAAATGGATTGGATCCATGTGACACCAACCCATGTCTGCATGATGGGCAGTGTGTGATGAAGGATGGAAAGTCGGCCACCTGTGATTGCCCTGTGGGGTATTCAGGACTCTTCTGTGAGGTAGAAAACTAACATAATAAAACAATAACAAATTAATTATCTGATTGAATAGTGTCGGAAATAAATATACACAACCTGCTAAGTAAGATGTGTGGAGATGTTAAAAAAAGAGAAATAAGAAATATTTTAACAAGAAATATTTTAACAAAAAAGGCTGTCTTGAAATAATAGCATGACCTTTTAAGACCTCAAATGAGATGATAGGAGATAAAAAAAATGTACTGTTGTACATCTTGATCATATATAATATAGGTATGAATATTGTATCAAGGCAATTGGACTTTCATGTTTCATGTTAATTGCTCTTCTTCTTTAGTAAAATGGTAGGGGTTGATGTTAAGGATTTTTACCACTTGCCCAAACTTTCACATTTCATTTGCCCAGAAACAATTTTTACTTGCCCAGTAATGTTTGATAAATATAGTTCCTAATATTCATTTTTGTATATATATCAATGAAACATGTTTGTTTTTTAAATGTTTTTTGTAATAATTTTTTGTAAGTATTTTTTAAGTTTACAGGTTCCTGGTGTGTATATGCATGTGTCAGATAATGAACTCAAGCCTACATTACCGTGCTAACATGATTTTCAATCCTTCCTGCACATTCTTTTCAAACTAAACTTTGCTTTAAACTGTTGTGTGCTTGGAAAAATATAAATTGTAATCTTAAATATCTAAAAAAAAACTTGACAAGTTAAAAACTTAAGATAAATCACAAGACAGAAGTCAATGTCACAAATGAATAACTTTTTTTTTAGAGTCACGGTATGTTTATACAAGATAATACTATTAATATAATGTGACTTTTCTAGAGAATCATTATACATAATTATTTTATACAGGGTTTCCACAGTCTTACATAATTTCAGTATTCCCTGAGTTTTAACTGACTAAGGATTAGTTTTCCCTGACAAAATAAATGCAGCAACAAGACAATAATAATAACATAACAGGTCACCAATTTAACATGTTTAGCTCTATAACATTTAAATGCACCTCTCCAATGTCTAAGAGAAAAAAAATTTATGAAAATTTTTTAATGTATGACCTGCATCAAGTCTAGGTGGACAAAAATCACGCCATCTGGCGGAAAATAACCCGGCTTTTTTAAAATACCAGTCTTTTTCAAATCACGCAAGAATGTGTACAAAACAACAAAAATGGTGCCAGCTACGCTTCTGGGTTGTTTTTATCGAATGTCGGTGATTTTAAAGTAATTTTGAGTGATCAATTTTTTTTTTTTGCGATCATTGCACCTGCCCGGCGGGCAAATGTAATGAAATTTGTACTCTCCCCGACAGTAAAAACTACTTGCCCCGGGCGATGGTTAACATCGAGCCCTGAATGGTTATTAGACATCCTAGAGTAAGGAGTGAGTGACAGATATTCCAGGGTGATAGCTAAAAAATAATATAAGTAATATAATTAATAAATCTAAAGCAAAAGTTTAGGCATAAATACAATATATTAGAAATAAAATGTTTTTCCTTTTATAAACTTTGCCTCTCCTCTGTGAGTCACACATCAGTTTTCTAAATACATTTGGGTACATAAAAAACTCTTCCTAACCCATCGCAGGCGGTCTTCCCCACTTTTGTCCTCTTACTCGGGTCCTTTACCAAAGAACTCTCTGGACCGAGATGTCTGATGTATTTCCAGGGATCTGCTGTAACCACTCTTTAAGTTTGGGGGTCACTCCCCCGAGTGCCCCAATAGCCACATGAACCACTGATGCCTTGAACTTCTAGGTTTTCTCCAGCTCTTCTCTGAGCCCCTGGTATTTCTCTAGTTTCTCATATTCCCTTTTCCTGATGTTGCAGTCACTTGGTATTGCTATGTCAACCGGCGTTCCCCTGCTTTTTCACCACCACCACAATGCCCGGTTGGTTTGCCATTACCAGTTGGTCTGTCTGTATTACCACCTCTTTTCTGAGCCACTGGTATTTCTCTAGTTTCTCATGTTCTATTTTCCTGATGTTGCAGTCACTTGGTTTTGCTATGTCAACCGGCGTTCCCCTGTTTCTTCACCACCACCACAATGCCCGGTTGGTTTGCCATTACCAGTCGGTCTGTCTGTATCTGAAAGTCCCACAGGATCTTGGCTTGGTCATTCTCTACCATCTTTGGAGATGTTTCCCACTTTGACCTTGAGGTTTCCAGCCCATACTCTGCACAGATGTATACTATTCCAGCCACTTGGTTATGGCGCTCCATGTAAGCTTTCCCTGCCAGCATCTTACACCCTGCAGTTATGTTCTGGATTGTCTCAGGGGCCTCCTTGCACAGTATGTCTTGTCTGCTATGGTCGATCTAGGCCTCTATTGCTCTGGTGCTTATTGCTCCTGTGCAGCCATTATCAGTGCCTCTCTGATGTCCTTCAGACCGGCTTTGTCTAGCCATTGGTAGGATTTCCTGATATCTGCCACTTCGATTATGTTTCGGTGGTACATCCCGTGTAGGGGCTTATCCTCCCATGACGGAGTCTCTAGCACCTCATCTTCTGTTCCCCATGGTCTGAGACATTCACTGAGGATGTCGTCTGTTTGAGCCTTGTCCTTGATGTAGTTATGGATCTTGGATGTTTCATCCTGGATAGTGGCTCTTATGCTCATTAGGCCTCCTTCCTTACGGCTGGCGTATGGTCTCAGGAAGCTGGATTTGGGGTGGTTCTCTCCATGTATGGTTAGGAGCTTTTGTGTCTTCCTCCTTTGTCCAGCTTATTATTCCTGCAGGGTATCTGATTTCTGGCAGATCATAGCTATTTATTGCCCGAGACTTATTCTTGCCATTGAGCTGGCTCCTTAGGACCCGCCTTACTCATTGGAGGTATTTGGCCATAGCCACTTTCCTTGTCATCTCTTCAAGGTTGCCATTTGCTTGTGAGATTCCAAGGTACTTGTAGCGTTTTTCAATGTCTGCTATTGTTCACTCTGGTACTGAGACCCCCTCTGTGTGGACTACCTTCCCTCTCTTAGTTACCACCCGACCACACTTCTCTAGTCTGTATGACATCCTGATGTCTGTGCTGAAGATCCGGGCGGTATGGATCAGTGAGTCAATGTCTTGCTCATTCTTAGCATACAGCTCGATGTCATCCATGTAAAGGGGGTGACTGATGGTGGCCTCGTTCCTGAATCAGTATCTGTTGCCAGTCTTGTTGATTATTTGGCTGAGGGGGTTCAGACCTATGCTGAACAGCAGTGGGGGTAGTGCATCTCCTTGGTATATGCCACATTTGATGGAGACTTGTGCAAGTATCTTGCCATTGGGCTCAAGTGTGGTTTTCCACAACCGCATTGAGTTTGCAATGAAGGCTTTTAGAGTCCTGTTGATGTTATATAGCTCCAAGCATTCAATGAGAAATCTTGGTCCGATGATCCCATAATCCATAGGCTGAATCAGTGATGTTGTGTTTGGAAATCAACAGCCTGGCCCCCTGCACTGAGCCTGGTTCTGCTGGAGCTTTCTTCCTGTTAAAAGGGGGTTTTCCTCTCCACTGTCGCCAAATGCATGCCCGGGATGAGGGGTTGATGAAGAGTCAACAACAAGCTTATCCTGGAGTAGCATGTCTTGCAAATCAATGACTGGAGGCATTCAACTGTTTCTTTTTTCAAACAATGTGACAGTATTCTCTCTGTAAAGTGCCTTGAGATGATGTGTTGTGAAATGACGCTATATAAATAAACTGAATTGAATTGAAAATTATTTAAGATCAACAACACTTTAAAACCAAGGCCTTTCTTTCTCAGAAAACACTTCACCTTTAGGATAAACACTGCTGAAACCAGAGGGGAGCACTTTGTTATCCAGGCTTTGGGATTGTGTTTCTAGTAAACAGGCAACGCATTCTTGTTTTTGTTTTTAGGGCTGTTGGGATTTTGACTTATAAATAAACCCTGGCTTTATCATAAAAGCTACATAATTTTCACACACAATCAAAGCCAAAGTCTTTTTGACTGAAGGGTTAAGAAGGCATTAACTTTCCAAAAAATTTGGTCTTATCCAAATTATTCTCCTGTGGGAGAAGCACTGGATGAGCCTGACTCTGCATCCTTGTCCTTTTCATTGTCAGGACCGACCCTCATCATTTTTAGCTCAGGTTTCACAGTAATTTTTTTCTTTGTGCAGATGGTGTTCATATCCAGCATGATGTTCTTTTTCCTAGAGTCTTTGATCCACCAGATTAATGCAGACTGGATTCTCCCGATAGTCTAATTGCGAAAGGTTACACACCTCTTCACTTTTTGCTTTAAACTTTCTGGTCCTTATATGCTTTTCTTCCTTCTTTAGCAGTGCCCTACAGTCGCATAGCTTTTCCCTTCTTCCTTCAGCAGGCCCAGCATTTCAACCTTTTGAGCAAAGGTTTGCATCTTCCTATGACACTTGGCTACAGCGGCAGATGCTGAAGGCGCTTAACATTTAGTTGACATGAGACTTGATATAAATCCAACTCTGTAAACAAAAAAAAAAACAACCCAAAACACTTCAACGAAGCAATACCATATAATAGTGAAAAAAATTAGTAAATATTCTGGAAACTACAGTTTAATGACACAGGCTGCAAGATGGATGGATGGATGGATGGATGGATGGATGGATGGATGGATGGATGGATGGATGGATGGATGGATGGATGGATGGATGGATGGANGATGGATGGATGGATGGATGGATGGATGGATGGATGGATGGATGGATGGATGGATGGATGGATGGATGGATGGATGGATGGATGGATGGATGGATCCCTGTTTACAGTATGAGCATAAAGGCTTTTTATTGTCTTAATCTTTTTGTCATTGCAGATAGAAAATGATCCTTGCAGCCCTAACCCCTGCCAGCAGGGGGTGCAGTGTCAAAGCTCAGAGGGAAGACCTGTGTGTACATGTCCTGATGGTTATTATGGCAACGAGTGTGTGAGCCTCAGAAAGCCATGCATTGGACAGGACTGTCAAGGTGAGGCTGATGTTGTTTGTATCTTTAGTCAAAAAGCAGAATTACAGCATGTTCTAACCTCTGCTGCTCCTCTGAAGGTGCTATGTCCGACACAGCACACAGTGGTCTCAGCATCTACATGATCCTGCTGGGAATCCTGGCTCTGGTGACAATATGTTGCTGCATCGTCTGCACAGTAGTCCTCTCTCGCCTGCATCGGAAAAGGACAAAGCAGCAGTCTGTCCCGCAGGAAGAAAGCATTAACAACCAGAGAGAATTCGTGAACCTGATCAGAAATGTGGAGCGCCCCCCCGGGCCCAACCTCTCTCCTGCTTCAACTCAACCTCACCCCCCAGCTCCCGTCTCACGTTGCTACGAGGAGATTGAACTCACCATTCCGCCTTCTCCAGCACCTTCACACCCTTCCCCAGCTTTAAAACCAGCTCATGCCCCCAAAATGGACATTTCAAACAGAGAAAGAGAGAAGCTGAATCGTTTTCACTGCACAGACAATCAGGAGCTGGAGGTTTGACCATATCCTGGACTTCTGTTTTCAGTTTGTAGCACTTTTTTTGTTGACAGGACTGCTGTCCCATTATTTACAATGATTCCAACATGGCAGTTATGGAGACTGGGAAGATGTTTGACCTTTATAAACTAAAATGGCTCTCAGATGATTCTTGAAGAAAGAAATGCTGCTAAATGAAGGATCAGAAATCTTTCTCACAAAAACATCTTTGGGCATCATTTGGTGGCAAAAAAAAAAGTTGTGAAGGTTGACTGAAATCTGAACATTTAAAGATCCACCTTTGAGTGCCTGCATTACAGCCAGGAGAGCCCCTTATCGTGCTCTAATTCACCATCTGACAGGTGTGCAGAACATCATTTAGCTTCTGAATCAATCCCTGTTTAGCACTTGCGATATTTGTGTTGATGAGTGTTTGTGAGAGCGCCTGCGAGTGAATGACAGAGCGTAAATTATGAGTGTGTGTGAGGAGAAAAAAAGGGCAGAAACATACTTAAACAAAATAAAACAAAGATGATCTACTTGTGAAAAGGGAGTGTATGCCTCCGAAGAAAAGGCTTTAAAGCCACGTTTTTTTAAACCACACTGTTGCCTGTTTTGTTTCTGTAATACTGCAAGATGTATGATTTTTTTCTACTCATATCTGTGTGTAAAATAGCTTTTTTTTTGTACATGGATATATTGTACATATTGATACCGTTTTTGTACTGTGGTTCAGTATGGAGGTATGACTGTATTACTTCACTCTGTCCCATTTTACTTTCCGTTCGGGATGATCAGCACATGTGGATTGCTAATAAAAGTGCATTTACCAGTTTTGCTTTTCATCTTGTTAAGAGCTAGGGGTTTTCACTGTCTTTATAAGATGGGTAGCACTAGTGGGACATTAAGAGGTCGAGGCAAGGATAAATCTTGACAGAACAATCACATAAAGTCAGCACTACCTCCATCATTTTCTTCAGCTTATGGCCGGTCCTTTTAGAGGTCGTTACAGTAAGTAATCTCTTTGTATTCACTATCTCTCCCATCCTCTTCTTTGACTCCAACCCTCTGCATATCACTACATACCTTCATCTCTGTGATCTTTCCCATTTCCTTCCCGCTAGCAGCTATATAGTCAGCATCCTTTATGTTCTTCTAAACCAGGGATCTGCAACCTGTGGCTCCTGGGACACAAGCGGCTCATTGGACCCTCTACAGTGGGTCATAATAGTGGCTAACAAGGATAAAGAACCAATTCATGTTTTTAAATATATTAACAAATACTATTTTTGAAAGGATAAGTTGTTTTTATAAAGAACATGTGGATTTAAAGAACTGTACTGGTTAAAGAACTAGAAAAATGTCATTAGATCTATTTTTGTCATAAGCTTGGAGACTATGCTTTTATTTTTGACATTAATATCTTATAAAAGAAAATCTGTTTCCTCTTAAGAAAACTTTTATGTGTTGTTCTTATTTAACCCAGTAAAGCCCATGTAATAATTTTCTAAACATGTGAATTAACATTTTTGAAACTTGTCACTATACATTGGAAAATAAAAAGAAATACAGTTCTGAATAATCTAAATTAACTAAATAATTTATATCATTTGTGATGCACTAGGCATTTCCTTGCGATTTCTTTTTAAATAGATCCTCCGTGTCTGGTTTTCAAAAGCAAAAAATTCCCACTGATCATACATCAGATTTCCTATTGCAGATATAGTACAAAAATAATAGTTTTTGGTTTATTTGAAGGTTGTGTAATTTTTTGCTTCTAAATGACTTTTATTCGGCTGGGAAAATGGCTCTTTGGATTAGAAAGGTTTCAGACCCCTGCTCTAAACATTTCCAGGTTTATCAGCCTTGTCTCTTATTGTGCCTACGTTTCAGCACGCCTTAGCTCAGTCTTGTAAATGTTTCCTTTGATTATTGCAGCTATCTTTCTATTGTAGATCACCCCTGATTCTCACCTTCATCTACTCCACCCCGCCTGCTCTCTTGTCTTCATCTTTCCCCTGTTTTTTTGAGTTTTTTTTGCAGGAAATTTAACTCAACCACATTAGCTCACCTACTTTCAATACAGCTTTGTCCCACCTGCTCCCCAACCATTAACATGTGCTACTTTGAATGTAAAATGGCTGTGACCTACATCAAAATATCCAATATATAGACATGAATAACAGGAAAGTTTCTTTATGCAACCTGCCATTTACCTGGACAAGAATCAAAACTTTTACCGCTAACCAAAACCAAGAGGATGGGTCAAATGCAGAGGTGAATTTCTCCAGTGTGAGATTGATAATGTTCTATTATTATCAATCTTCCATCCTGGGCATCTAAGTAAAAAATTCGCTTGCACAAAGATATACTGGCAGACATTCCAGTAACATTGAATATTAAAAAAAAAAAAATTCAAAACTATACTTTCAACAGAGATTTTTTTTCTCTTCCAGAAGGTACAGTTTAATATTTATAATATTGTATTTGCTGCAAACAATAGTTTATTCGAAGTTTTTTTTTTTTACCTATCTAAAGCAAGAGCCCCAAAATATGTAAATATCACCATCTCATAGACCATCAAATCCTGTTGAAATGATTAACTGCAAAGTAAGAAACGGCCGTGTTGGAAAGAAAAGGTGTAGATAGTGGGGCAAGCAGCAACAGTTAAAGACAAAATGAATGTCACAAATGTGACCTAGGTCCTGAGCAAATAGAAGCAGGCTGGAAATGAAAACAGGCTTCCTCTCACCATGACAGACTGCAGGAAATGTAGGAAACAGAGTTTATGCATACACACATGTACAGATATGGTATGTAAGAGATTTTCTCTTCACCTGCTGTGCAGCACAGGATGCTAGATCCCAGCTTGCTGATTAGAAAGTTTACAATAGGCACAGATTCAGAATCTGAAGAGCATTTATAACACCCTGTGTTCACAATAGACTGCCTGTATAATCCCATGTGTTCCAGGGGTGAAAGTAATGCTCACATTTCAGATTGTTTTTGCTAGACATGCAGATTTTTTATTTATTTATCTTTTAATAATCTATGTTTTCCTCCTTAAAAAACATTTTATTTGGTTTCCCCTGTAAGCTAGTCTAAACAGTCTATATTACATGAAATTTAATCAAAAGCTTGAGCAGTAATTCTCACTGTAAAGCCCATTTATATAAAGCAACAACAGAAAAAAATTGTGGAAAACGAATAATTTATTTTATCTGGCTTGATGCAATGAAGCATTGTTGAAGCCATTTTTGTGTTTATTTCAACAACATAAACTCTTTCACTAACCTTTCATTTCAGGCTAATACAGATTCAGTTTATAAATCCTGTCTTACAGTGACACTTAGTGGCGACAAGTACACACTCTTTTAATAAATTATGCTTTTAGTGATTTGTGAGCAAAAGAATTTATTTTTTTGTTATGCTGAAAATATTTTATCAGCTTATATTTAGGGAGTAATAATTATACGATTTGAACAAGAATGCAACACAGAAGGTCCTGTAGAAATTCCGTAAGAAACCATCAACAAATGTAAAAAAGAATTAATTATAATAGATAAAGTAACTCAAATAACTTTTTAAATCCTTCACTTTTTTGGTCTAAAAAATTTTAAAATAAAAACTTGTTGTGTAACATAACGTGTTTTAGCTATTGAATGGTTTTGGTAAAGAAAATAGATTGACCAAGAGCAATTCAATTAAAGTTAGAGGATAAGGATTTGCAAATTCTTAATGAAAAAAGGGGAACTATAAAAACAGTAAGGAGCGTAAGGATAGCTGGTAAAAATTACTATGATGCCCTGGTTTGTGAGGCAAAATATGAAATTTAATTATATAACTTTCAACAGCTTAGCACATACACTGCAAAAATGACCTAGAAATGAGTAAAGAAATTCTTAAAATAAGTGTATTTACCCTTAATTTGAGTGGGTATATAAGATCTGCCAATGGAATGACTATGTTTAGGCTTAAAATAGGATAAGATATTATTCACTTGAAATAAGAGACTGCAACTGCTGTTTTCTTATTTTAAATGTAAATTGTCTTATTTCATTTCCAAAGTGTCTCA